TTCTAAATAAATTACCTATATCTCAGGAAAAAGCTAAAAACATTTATAAGCACATAAAAATACTCAGCACCCAGGAAGTAACATTCATGGTATCTGGCATCCAATCAAATACTACTAAGCATATAAAGAAGCAGGGAAATATGGCCCATTAAATGACTAAATCAATCAAAATTGATCCAGAAATGACACAAATGATAGCATTAAAAGAACATTAACATAGATAACATCATTGCATTCCACATATTCACAAGGCAAAGAAGAGACATGAAAAATATAAAAAGGACCAAAATAAAATTTTTAAATGTAAGATAGTAATACTGTGAATACATTAACGACATAGTAGACAATTCAAAAGAAGAGATCAATTAATGTCTGTTGAGGAAGAGAAACCATCCAAAGGAAAAGACTAAGAGAAACAAAATTACAAAATGAAGAGAGTATCAGCGAGATGTGGGACAACATCAAGCAGCCTAATACGTCTGTACAGAGGAGAGAGGGGATAAAAAAGTATTTGATAATACTGTTTATCATCACTGCTTCTATTCTACTTTATACTGGAGGTTCTAGTCCATGCAATCAGGCAAGAAAAGAAATACAAAAAGAAGAGAATTTGAAGAGAAGAAATAAAACTACCTTTATTTATAGACAATATGATCATTTGTGTAGAATATCAATTGGTATCTGGAAAAAAACTACTAGAGCTATTAAATGATTTTTAATAATGCAGAATACAAGATAGATATAAAATTGCTTTTCTATATATATATACTAACATCTAATTTGGGGAAAAATAAAAGTTGTAATAGTTGTAAAAGTTGTAATAGTAAAAATTATGAAATTCCTAGGGATGAATATATCAAAAAGATGTGTAAGGCTTGTACACTGTAAACTCAGAACATTGATAAGAAAAGTTAAGGATACCTAAATAGATGGAGATACATATTTGATTCATGAGTTGGAAAACTCAGTATTATCAAGAGATCAACTGATTCCAAACTGATTTATAGAGTCAACACAATTCCAATAAAAAATCCAGTAATATTTCTTGGTAGAAACTGACAAGCTGATTCTAAAATTTATATGGATATGTTAAAGGGCTTAGATTAGCCAAAACTATTTTAAACATGAAGAACAAACTGGAAAGACTAGTACTATTTATTTAAAGAATAAAACATACAATAACCAAGAGAGTAAATTAGACATATAAGTCAAAGAACAAAAAAGAGTTAAAAAATAGACTTACTTTTGACAAAGACACATAGGCAAAAACCTTTTCAAGATTTTTGTAACTCTAATTTAAGCTCATCATAAAAAATACATACAATGTCAAATCTGAAAGAAAAGATATAAAAATATTGATAAGCACACACAAATGAATTGAAAGCTTCTTGTAGTAAAACATGATGTAAGATAACCCTATACAATAAAAGCCTAATATGCAAATTGACCGAACGGTGGAATGACCAGATGCGCAGTGACTACAAGGGGGCAGATGCTCAATGCAGGAGCTGCCCCCTGATGGTCAGTGCACTCCCACAGGGGGATCATGGCTGGTGAGCCCAGCGTAATCAAACTGCTTCTAAATAAATTACCTATATCTCAGGAAAAAGCTAAAAACATTTATAAGCACATAAAAATACTCAGCACCCAGGAAGTAACATTCATGGTATCTGGCATCCAATCAAATACTACTAAGCATATAAAGAAGCAGGGAAATATGGCCCATTAAATGACTAAATCAATCAAAATTGATCCAGAAATGACACAAATGATAGCATTAAAAGAACATTAACATAGATAACATCATTGCATTCCACATATTCACAAGGCAAAGAAGAGACATGAAAAATATAAAAAGGACCAAAATAAAATTTTTAAATGTAAGATAGTAATACTGTGAATACATTAACGACATAGTAGACAATTCAAAAGAAGAGATCAATTAATGTCTGTTGAGGAACAGAAACCATCCAAAGGAAAAGACTAAGAGAAACAAAATTACAAAATGAAGAGATTATCAGTGAGATGTGGGACAACATCAAGCAGCCTAATATGTCTGTAGAGAGGAGAGAGGGGATAAAAAAAGTATTTGATAATACTGTTTATCATCACTGCTTCTATTCTACTTTATACTGGAGGTTCTAGTCCATGCAATCAGGCAAGAAAAGAAATACAAAAAGAGAATTTGAAGAGAAGAAATAAAACTACCTTTATTTATAGACAATATGATCATTTGTGTAGAATATCAATTGGTATCTGGAAAAAAACTACTAGGGCTATTAAATGATTTTTAATAATGCAGAATACAAGATAGATATATACACCAAAAAATTAATAGGATGGTGCTGGAATTACAAATGATTTCTCTTTCTCTTTAAACAGGTTTAGACTCTAAATCAGAAAATATTATGTATTATTGAAAATTAAAAGCACTTACTCTAAGAGAAAAATCAGTTTTATCATTTTTTTTCTATAGGAATTACAAGTATAGTTTATAGTGTGAAATAAAGTAAAAAAAATAGTTATCTATAATAATAAGAGCATAACATGCTAATAAGACTGGACAGCCAAATGACCTTCCAGACATCATTCCGATGTCCTTCTGGACGACCTTCCAGATGAAGCCGGGGCTTCGAGGGCCAAGGCAAGCTGCCACAGCTGCGAGGGCCGATTGCGGAGCACCGGCCAGGTGGGCAGGACTTCCCACTCTGCAGCATGGATTGCAGAGCCTCAGCAGGGTGGGCAGGTCCTCCCTGTGGGTGGCAATCAATGGCAGAGCCCCAGCCGTGTGGGCAGAGAGGGAGGCCCAGGCTACCCAACTGGTGGTACTGCGGCGGGTGGGCAGGGCCCCCTCTGTGGGGCATCGATCTGGGGCTCCTGTGACCCATCGCCCCACAGAGGGAGGCCCAGGCCAGCCAAGCAATCACACCCCATGCCTTTTGGCCCGCAGAGGGAGGTGACTGGTGGCGGAGGGGGCGTGGCGCTGCACAGATGACAAGCAGTGGCAGCGGTGGGGGCGGGGCCAGCTGCTGGCAGCCGGGGCCCTGCCCCCAGTTGCCCCCTCTCTCCCCCACTTCTGACCCTGACAGGAAGGAGGAGGGAGCCCGATTCCCCCTGTCCCTCCCCCCGCCAGTGTCATCGACAGAATATGTCTGAAGACCAACTATTGGCACAACGTTCATCTGAAGCTGAAAGAAAGCAGTGTCAACAGAAAAATGTCTGAAGACCGACTATTGCACAACGTTCATCTGAAGCCGAAAGAAGCTGGCATTGCCGACACAATGTATCTGAAGACCAACTACTGGCACAATGCACCTCTGTAGCTGAAAGAAAGCAGCGTCAACAGAAAATGTCTGAAGACCGACTATTGCACAACGTACCTCCGAAGCCGAAAGAAGCCAGCATTGTTGACAGAATATGTCTGAAGAACAGCCATCGACTTGTACTACCAATACTGGTAGGAACTGCCTTCACAGCAAAAATGAAGTAAACGAGGATGCAATTATTGAACATAGTTGTGGTGGAATGACTGTTACATGTCAATTTTGTCTATCACTAAATTTCTCCAGTGAAAAACCATTTGATGGAAAATTTACTCGATGTTGAAGCAAAGGTAAAGTTTGTTCAAATGATATATGTTTTCCAGAATACCTGGCATATTTAAAAACATTAATGATAAATGAAGATTCTGACAGTAAAAATATCATGGAAAATATTCATTCGATAAATAGTTCTTTTGCTTTTGCTTCAATGGGTGCAAATATTGCACCACCATCAGGATATGGACCATACTGTTTTAGAATACATGTAATTTATCCGATTGGCTTCCATTTTTTAATATAAATCGACAATATACTAGTGAGTTAAAACAAGTTTATCACCATACTGGAACTTTACATCCTTCGGATGGTGTTTCTCAGAAGTTTGCTCAACTCCATATTTATAACACTTCCATCATCTTTTGAGGATAGTCCCAGAAATATGCAGCAGCGATATCAGGATGCTATGGCAATTGTAATGAAGTATGGCAAGCCCGATTTATTAATAATCATGACATGCAACCCCAAATGGGCAGTTATTACAATTTACAATGCTGGAAAAAAGTTGAAAACAGACCTGACTTGGTAGCCATAGTTTTTAATATTAAACTGAATGCTCTTTTAAATGATATATGTAAATTCCATTTATTTGGCAAAGTAATAGCTAAAATTCATGTCGTTGAATTTCAGAAACATGGACTGCCTCACATGCACATATTATTGATATTAGATAGTGAATCCAAATTACGAACAGAAGATGACATTGACCGTGTAGTTAAGCCAGAAATTCCGGATGAAGACCAGTATCCTCAACTTTTCCAAATTGTAAAATCAAATATGGTACATGGACCATGTGGAATACAAAATCCAAATAGTCCATGTATGGAAAATGGAAAATGTTCAAAGGGATATCTGAAAAAATTTCAAAATACAGCCATTGGAAATATTGATGGATATCCCAAAGACAAATGTAGATCTGGTAGCACCATATCTATTGGAAGTAAAATTGCTGATAATGCTTGGATTGTACCTTACCCCTTGTCCCTTATAAGGCACACCCATATTTGTGCCTTAAGTACAACTGTCATATGAATGTTGAAGTCTGCGCATCGATGAAAAGTGTCAAATATTTATTTAAATACATCTATAAAGGGCACGATTGTGCAAATATTCAAATTTCTGAAAAAAAAATATTATCAATCATGACGAAGTACAGGACTTCACTGACTCCAGGATGTGAGTGCTCCTGAGGCTGATTGGAGACTTTTTGCAATGCAAATGCATGACCAATCTCATGTAATCACAAGATTAGCTATTCATTTGCCAAATGAACAGAATTTGTATTTTCATACGGACGATTTTGCTGAAGTTATAGATAGGGCTAAAAGACGTAACTCAACTTTGATGGCTTGGTTTTTATTGAATAGAGAAGATTCTTACACGCATAATTATTATTATTGGGAGATTCCACAACATTATGTGTTTAATAATTCTTTGCGAACAAAATGCCAAAAGAGTGGGAATAAACTATTAGGTAGACTGTTCACTGTGAGCTTTAGAGAACCAGAACAATATTACCTTAGACTTTTGCTTCTGCATGTAAAAGGTATGATAAATTTTGATGATTTGCTTCTGCATAATAGGAGGTGTAATTTATGATACATTTTGTGAAGCTGCTAAACATCGAGGATTATTGATGACACTATCTGTAAAGATATGATTGACGATGCAATCATCCTTAATATGCCCAAACAACTACGGCAACTTTTTGCATACATATGTGTGTTTGAATGTCCTTCTGATGGAAATTATGAGATGAGAATAAATGTCATTTAATTGAAGATTTTTGTTGGAAAATACACTGAAGAGAAGGTGCCTGTGTGAACTGTGAAATGCATGCCCTTAACGAAATTCAAGAGGTATTCACATTGCATGGAATGAAATGCTCACATTTCAAACTTCCAGACTATCTTTTACTTATGAATACAAATACATGTGATGAATCGTACGAGCGACAATAGGCAAAGGTTTTGATAAATTCTCTGAATGATGAATAGTTGGCAGCTTTTCAGACTATAACTTCAGCCATCAAAGATCAAACTGTATACCCCAAATGCTTTTTCTTAGATGGTCCAGGCCAGGGGTCCTCAAACTTTTTAAACAAGGGGCCAGTTCACTGACCCTCAGACCGTTGGAGGGCCGGACGATAGTTTAAAAAAAAACTATGAACAAATTCCTATGCACACTGCACATATCTTATTTTGAAGTAAAAAAAACAAAATGGGAACAAATACAATATTTGTATTTGCATGTGGCCC